TGGCGATCGCACTGCATTTTGTGATCTGTTTCAGGGTGTTGTTAATTTAACATTGACATCCACACTAGATTGCATGGACACCAAGCGATTGCAATACAGTGTGGGAAACTAACAGGATTTGCTGCAGTTCCCACACCGCATTAGTGTGAACCAGGTCTTAAAGTGGTTCTAAAGCTTTGTTTTTATTTTATTAACCTGCTCTGTGCTATGGCTTTGCACAGAGCAGCCCTGATCCTCCTCTTAGCTCCACCCCATTGCTGAGTGCCGCCAGATCAATCTTGTGTGTGCTCACTCCTGAGACCTGTATTCCGTAAGACACACAGGGTGGGGCTGGGCCCCACCACCCATCACTGCCCAATGGCTCCTCCTAAGACGCAATGTCTTTTTTTTAAAGGGAAGCAGTGTAAGCACCTGAATGTGACCTGGTATCTGTCTCTTTAAGTTTTTACACAGCAGGGCTGGAGTTTGTAGTTTGAAAAAGTACATGAGCTACAAGCTTCAAACATATTTTGCCCCTGTAGGCTTTGGTAGGAGCAAAAATGCACAAAGACGCACATAACGCATGCTTTTTTTCCCCTTGTAACTAATTTTCTATTAACTAAAAATTATTTAAAAAAAAAAAAAGCTCAAGCCTCAGATGTCCACAAAAACACATGAAAGTGTGAATGCAGCCATATCGCTGGTGGTTGTAGTTCAGTCTTTGCTCAGGATAAGCAAAGAAGAGCAAATCAGCATGTCACACCTTCCTAATAGACAATCATGGTTCTATGTCTAGGGGTTCTCATTCGCTATTGACATTTGCAAGGACACAGTTAATGGCTCCTATTTGATTTGCTCTGCTGAATCACAGCCCCTTTATATTTTCTACTGTTATGTCTAATGAGCTTGGGACTCTCCAGCAGTATAGGAGCTAGAACAGAAATTTCAATGCTATACATAAATGGAGGTTAAAGTATATCTAAAAACATTTCTTTTTTCATTTTAGATAGAGTATGAAAAGGTTAAAATGCGTCCGCACCCAACCAGACGCAATGTCGGGGGATAAAAATGCAGTAAGAAACCCGCAAGTGGTTATAACCCCTAATTGCTCTATCCAGATCTAAAAAACGGTTGCCATTATGTGACTGAAACTGATGAGATCAACACTAATTACACTGGTGAGGCTTACAGGTAAAGAAATATCTATGTATCTGCTATCTCTCTTAGCTTTACCATACATGCAACAATCTGACTGTACAATCAACCTTGGAGCTTCCAAAACTATGCAATATGAGAACCTACCTAAACAGTTGTTTTGGGTCCAATCAGGAAGGCCCTTGCACTACATTCTTGTTAGTATATTATTATTATACAGGATTTATATACCACCAACAGTTTGCTCAGCACTTTACAATATAACGGGAGACAATACAGTTCAATACAAGAGGGATAGGAGGGCCCTGCTCCTTGGAGCTTACAATCTAGGATTGGTAGATATAGCGGAAATTTTGCAATCAGATTGTAACATGCGTGGTGAGCTTAAAGCATACCCTATACAATCCAACTGTACAAACTTTAGATTTACCAGCAACTATGTAATGTAGGGAGCTGGCTGATTGTATAAGATTGGCTTTTTTATATTGATCCTCTTATTACAAAATTTTGGTATTCAAAGGTATTTTAGTAAATTCAAAGGAGGTTGTACAATTATACCCCGGTCACACTGGGTGCAACTTGGCATGCGATCTGCATGCCATACGACTTGAAAATCGAATGGCAAGTCACACTTTATTGTCTGCAATTACAGCAGTCATATTAGTTCGGTTCTTACTTGGTTGGAGCTGCACCAATTTCTAAATACTTTTGGTGCGATTTGCACAGACATCTGTGTCAGATGTCTTGCAAATTCGCACCTCAAATCGGCATGTCATCTGACTTTGAAATCATGTGACTTCACTGTAAGTCGCATGATTTCAGAGTCGGGATCAGTGTGACTGGGGTGTAGGACTGTAGTGTTAATAGCTATGCTAGGGTTCGTGCAGGAACCGATAAGATTCATAGTAATTCTACTGGTGAGGCTCAATACAGAAGCTTTCTTTTCTTTCTTTCTTTCTTTCTTTCCACAAAAAAGTGTTGAAACAAAAGTCCAAATCTGGCACATTCTCAAAATTGTAAGAAATAACTGCATTCCAAGTTTGTGATGCTCCTGTAATCAATTAACAGCTGCTGACAATATAGAAATCACATCAGCAACCGGTTAAAATGGTGAAAAAAGGACGCAACCTTTCTGTTGTGTGTCTCTGTGTACCACATGGAGCATGGAGAAAAGAAAGAGCAGCAAAGAATTGTCTGAAGATTTGAGAACAAAAATTGTGGAAAAGCATGGACAATCTCAAGGTTCACAGCCGGTTCCCTACTGTGCATGCGCAAAGCTTTGAGAAAATTACAGCTTTTTGGTAAAGCCCATCATTCTACTGTTTTCTGAAAAAGCAATGAGGCCTTTAAAGAAAAGAGTACAGTCCCTACAGTCAAATATGGTGGAGGTTCACTGATGTTTTGGGGTTGTATTGCTGCTTCAGGCACTCGATGTCTTGACCGTGTACATGGCATTATGAAATCTAAAAACTACTGAAGAATTCTGGGGAGCAATGTAGGGCCCAGTGTCAGAAAGTTGGGTCTCCATCAGAGGTCATGGGTCTTACAGCAAGACAATGACCCAAAAGACATGTCAAAAAGCACCCAGAAATGGTTCATGACAAAGCGCAGGAGAGTACTGAACTGGCCAGTTATGAGTCCAGATCTCAATCCCATAGAGCACCTGTGAAGAGATCTCAAAAAAGCGGTTGGGAAAAGGAACCCATCCAATCTGAGAGATCTGGAGCAGTTGGCGAAAGAAGAGTGGTCCAAAAATCCAGTAGAGAAATGTAAGAAACTCATTGATGGTTACAGGAAGCAACTGATTTCAATTATTTTTTCCAAGGGATGTGCTACCAAATATTAAATTGAGGGTACCAATAATTTTGTCCTGTCCATTTTGGGGGGTTTTGTGTGGAATGTGTCAGATTTGGCTTTTTGTTTCTCCACTTTTTTGTGTCATACCAATACAAACAAAAGAAATAAACATGAGAATGCCTAAACATTTGTAATTGCAACAATTTTCTGAGCGAAGTGTTGCATTATTTGACAGAAATTCAGGGGTGCCAATATTTTTGGCCATGACTGTATATTGATCTATATATATATTTGTGATTTTATAAAGTCTAAAGATTGGTATTCTTTATCTTAAACATTTGCAGCTCCTCTAATAGTTTCTGTGTGCCCAGCTTTACAAGTGTTGCCATAAATCAGTCTACTTAAACAAATAACTGCCATATAACACTGACTTAAGAGCTGCAGCAGTCATTAAACAGTGTTTACTAACACAAATAAAGGAGGAAGAATGGACCATAATAAACACATTACTGGCCAAGCAATAATGATTCCTAACTTTTGCTTTATTCATGAGCATCGCTTTTGCTCTAGGTTTAACTGTTTCACTGTTTGAAGGTCTCATGACCACAGATGGAGAAAGCTTAAAAATATGAGGAGTATAGAATTCTGGGCATTTTCAAAACGTCCAGTTTCAGGAAATATGTTGCATGCGCATGCGTGGGTAAATGCCAATGCAAAGAAGCTTCAGCACTTACAAGACTATGACCATGTACAGCAGGCTTTATGCAACACCTGCAGCTACCAAGGCATGGGAAAATGTCTAGAAATTGTACGTCCAGCGTACTTTTAGCTTCATTGTTCATGTGCATGAAGCCTAAGCCTCGGTTCACACTATGAACTGCATGTGAATCACACAGGAACTGCACTGCATGCCTGTGCTATTCCCAAGCGATTCAGTGCAGTGCGATGTGAGCCAATTAATTTTGAATGGGCTCAAATCACACCAAAGATGTGCATGCACATTTTTGCAGCCACACCGCAACCGGATCACATGGTTATTTTGTGCTATGCTATCCGGTACAGGAAAACACCCTGCGTTTCTGACCTGTTTGGGGTGTTGTTAACTTTTTACTGACACCCGCAGCAGATTGCAAGGGCAGCGAGATTGGAATGCAGTTCGGGAAATGTGCATGGATCGCTGCGGTTCCCGAACTGCATTATTGTGAACCTAGGCTAAGGGACTCTGACCATTGGCAGAGCATTTCAAGGTCTTACCTATTTTCCTCCAGTCATGAAAAATGATTTACCATATATAATCACATGACTGCAGCAATGCTTTCTGATGTGTCACTGGCCTAGGAAGTCAGACTAAAGCAACTGTATGACAGCATGTCCCAACAGGTCTCGGCTCAGAAGTCTCTCGCTGGCAAACACCTGAGGGCTCGGTAGAGAACTCCCCAAGCTGTCACTACCAGTGTGCGGCTGAAATCTTAATACAAGGCAATTATACTTGAGGATTGGACTGAACTGGTACTGGAAAATTGGCTACAATGCCAGGGTAGATATGCATGACTGTGACACCTTATTCATGTCTGGTAATTCTATCAGTTAATAAACAAGAATTTGTTTCTTTGATTTGTGAGCAGTCAGGTCCTAACATTTTTCCCACCATATAGAACATGGGTTAGTCGGGTGTAAGTGTTATATAATTACATGTTTTTAAATAGCGCCAGCAATTTGCATATTCAACATTCCCATCAGTCCCTGCCCTCAAGGAGCTTACAATCTAAGGTCCCTATCTCACATGCATATACACACATACTTGGGTCAATTTAGAAAGGAACAAATAGCCTACCAGTATGTCTTTTGATTGGGGGGGGGGATAGAAATCAGAGTACCTGGAGGAAATGCATGCAGGCAATGGGAGTACATGCAAATTCAATGTCCTGTTAGGGATTTGAACTGAAGACCTTAGTGCTGCAAGGTATAAGTGCTAACCACTAGTTGAATACTATACCATAGCTATATCACTAGAATACTATCTAAGTCAGTAGCAGGATATTTCTGATTCGAGAACAATGGAGTTTTGCATTAACATTACTTGTACCCCAAATTTATCTTACAATTACTTGCACCCCATACTCTGTCAGATGGTCTATGAAAAAGCTACAATACATACCACAGTATCAGGGGCGGACTGACAACTCATGGGGCCCCCGGGCAATAGGGGACCATGGGGCCCCTGTGTCCTTGCCCAAACTAAAAAAAGCCTATGAAAAAGGTACCAAGGGGCCTCTCGTGGGGCCCCCTACTGACCCAGGCCCTCGGGCAGTGCCCGAGTTTCCAAATGGTCAGTCCGCCCCTGCACAGTATAACTGTCAACTGACAGATACATTAGATGGACATAAGAACGTCTGAAAAATACTTCCTTTTTTAGAATTATTGGACGTTTTTCTGTTATATACAGTACAAAGAACTGTCCCTGGCGTTATTTATTCCTTGGGTAACAAATGATAATCATAAATATACTAAAGTAGAAACATATTTCATTTGTGTTGATAACTACACAAAGTAGGAGCAGCAGAGCTCAGAGTACAGCTCTTCAGTGGTTATCTAGTAGGTAGACAGTTGTAGCCTAATTAAGACACTGAAATTAGGAGACTTCAAACATTTATTTTCCAGCTCTCGCTGCCATGATTTTGAACAAAACGTTCTAATTAGAACAGTGCAAAAAAGGGGTGGTTTGCATTCAGCCACTGGCAACAAAACAGAAAACAGCTCTTAGCAAGTTAGAAGGGGTCTAATTAAAAGCTAATTTCTGGTTGGTGGTTGTGGGTTATTGCATGTTTTATAATTAGCACTAAAATGTATTGAGTCCACTGATCGGACTAACAATTCCAGTGTGACTGATACAGTCTAGTTCTGCTTTTTCCTAACCTTGTTATAACGAGGGAACCTTTTAAAATAACTTTTAGGTCTCAGAGAACCCCTGCTAATAACTACTAAATGCTCATAACAGTGGTGGTTAATAAGGAGAACAGTATCTACAAAGATTGCTGGTGTCAGTGGTGATTGCTCCTTGCTCAAGGAACCCCTAGCAACCTTTAGAGGGACTCAAGGGTTCACTGGAACCCTTGTTGGTAAGGGCTGGTGTAGGAATTATAAAAAACTTGTTACAGCAATGTGAACCCATAAGTACAGTTTCAGAACTACAACAAAATGGATCTTGACCTGCTGGCTTCCTTACTAGCAGAACTCAACAGACTCTTGTGACAATGTATGCAGTGACGGAACCAAACAATGGCAAGTATTGAAGATTTGGCAAAATAAGATGAAATTCCAGAGCATAGAATGGGGATCATTTTATGGTCTCCCATAGCCTCAGGCAGAAATTAGAAGATCAATGCCTTCAAACTACTGAAGAGGTATATGTACCAACATGCTGTCTGTTACAGCATGCTTGGACCTTTAGTTCCTCAACAGCTGGAGGCCACATGCTGCTCTTCTGAGCCATCCTCTACAAAGCGTTGACATATTACTTGAGTTCTACAGCTTTTGTTTGGAGTGGCTGAGGATTGTGCTGACCGTTGCAATTTAGTTCTTTTCTTAAGGCATGTGAATAACATTTCACAAAAACAAAACAAACAAAAGAATCTTTTCTCAATGTCCACCTTTCATCATTGGCTGTCCTGAAGAATCAGAGTATAAGTGTAGCACTCACCTGAGATCTCTGACAGGGGCACCCCATTGAGGTTAAAGCCTCTGGCACTGTACACCTGTCTCACCGATTCACAGCTCTTGGCTTTGCTCCCTGTATCTCCTGCTGCCCAGTGTACCAAGAAGACCAGTCCGAGAGGCCACCATGAGTATCCACACATCCTCTCCATGTCCTCTGTGGATCAGCCAAGAAATGTAACTGGAAGAGTTAGGAAGCAGGACCACAGAGGCAAAGGAAGCAAGCATGCACAGCCCAGCTGGCAATGCCAAGAAGCCTTCAGATCTGGTCCTACAGGACTTGGAGGTATGGAGAGCACTGACAGCAGCTAGCAAATGTTGTGGGATGGTGAGTGCTGGGCTGTCTGATATAAGGGGCACACAGGGGCCCCAGGATACAAAGAAGACACAATGGGTGAACATCGGTATGTCCAGGATGTGGATGCTCCTACATGGCAGAGTGGGCACAGCTGAAGGCCAGGAAGTGCTGGGACACTGCAATGGAAGGAAGCTGGAGCCAGGCAGGGGGGACACTTGTGATGGAGGGGTGTAGTCCTGGAATTAGCACTGGATTCCAGCAATCACAGCCAATGACCTATTTCTAGGTGCCGCAGATCTGTCAGAGGTGGCTGTGCTCAGTGCAATGACTTGGGCTCCTTTGTGCAATGTATGTCTACATGATTCTCCCTGCCTGGTGCCTGCTCCGGGGGGTCAGTGTGCGGTGTCCTCCTCCATTCTGACTGCTGCTGTCACCCCAGGGGAAGCTGTGGATGATGATGATGGCTGGGCCCCCTGTGCTCTTCTCCAGGACAAGGTGATGCTCCTTCCCCCCCGCCTGTCTGTCTATGTATGATGAGGAGAGGAGGAGGAGGATGCGGCTGTGCGCTGACTGATGCTGCCTGCCTGCCGTCCCCGCACCTCCCGTGTAGAATGAAGCTTCAACTCCAGCCGCACACTGCACATTGACAGCCGGCAGCCAATCAGCGCCCCCGGCACAGCCCCGCTCTAATAGAATACAATTAGCATCCGGATTGGGTGTCAGGGTCAGCCAGGCGAGAGGTGGAGATCTATCTGCTGGGTGTGTGAGTGAGAGAGCGAGCATTGATGTGTGCTGGAGAAGGAGAACTATATCCATCGACGCTGCAAGACACTGACAGCACTGGATCTCCCTCATATATACACTGACAGCACTGGATCTCCCTCATATATACACTGACAGCACTGGATCTCCCTCATATATACACTGACAGCACTGGATCTCCCTCATATATACACTGACAGCACTGGATCTCCCTCATATATACACTGACAGCACTGGATCTCCCTCATATATACACTGAAAGCCTGGATCTACCTCATATATACACTGACAGCCTGGATCTACTTCATATATACACTGACAGCCTGGATCTACCTCATATATACACTGACAGCACTGGATCTCCCTCATATATACACTGACAGCCTGGATCTCCCTCATATATACACTGACAGCACTGGATCTCCCTCATATATACACTGACAGCCTGGATCTCCCTCATATATACACTGACAGCACTGGATCTCCCTCATATATATACACTGACAACACCGGATCTCCCTCATATATACACTGACAGCACCGGATCTCCCTCACATATACACTGACAGCACCGGATCTCCCTCACATATACACTGACAGCACCGGATCTCCCTCACATATACACTGACAGCACCGGATCTCCCTCACATACACTGACAGCACCGGATCTCCCTCACATATACACTGACAGCACCGGATCTCCCTCACATATACACTGACAGCACCGGATCTCCCTCATATATACACTGACAGCACCGGATCTCCCTCATATATACACTGACAGCACCGGATCTCCCTCACATATACACTGATAGCATTGGATCTACCTCATATATACACTGACATCCTGGATCTCCGTCATATATACACTGACAGCATTGGATCTCCCTCATATATACACTGACAGCATTGGATCTCCCTCACATATACACTGAAAGCACCGGATGTCCCTCATATATACACTGACAGCATTGGATCTCCCTCATATATACACTGACAGCACTGGATCTCCCTCATATATACACTGACAGCACTGGATCTACCTCATATATACACTGACAGCACTGGATCTACCTCATATATATACACTGACAGCCTGCATCTACCTCATATATACACTGACAGCACTGGATCTACCTCATATATACACTGACAGCCTGGATTTTCCTCATATATACACTGACAGCACTGGATCTCCCTCACATATACACTGACAGCACTGGATCTCCCTCATATATACACTGACAGCACTAGATCTCCCTCATATATACACTGACAGCACTGGATCTCCCTCATATATACACTGAAAGCACTGGATGTCCCTCATATACACTGCAAGACACTGACAATGTTGGATCTCCCTAATATATACACTGCAAGACACTGACAATGCTAAATCTCTCTCATATATACACTGCAAGACACTGGCAACGCTGGATCTCTCTCTCATATATACACTGCAAGACAATGACAGCGCTGGATCTCCCTCATATATACACTGCAAGACAGTGACAGCACTGGATCTCCCTCATATATACACTGACAGCCTGGATCTCCCTCATATATACACTGACAGCACTGGATCTCCCTCATATATACACTGCAAGACACTGACAACACTGGATCTCCCTAATATATACACTGCAAGACAATGACAGCGCTGGATCTCCCTCATATATACACTGCAAGACACTGACTGCACTGGATCCTCTTCATATATACACTGCAAGACAGTGACAGCGCTGGATCTCTCTTATATATACACTGCAAGACACTGCACAGGATCCACTTCATATATATACTGACAGTAATGGATCTCCCCTATATATACACTGCAAAACACTGACTGCACTGAATTCACTTCATATATACACTGCAAGACACTGACTGCATTGGATCTTCCTTAAATATACACTGCAGGACACTGACTGTACTGGATCCACTTCATATTTGCACTGACAGTACTGGATCTCCCCTATATATACACTGCAAGACACTGACTGCACTGGATCTCCTTCATATATACACTGCAAGACAGTGACAGCGCTGGATCTCCCTTATATATACACTGCAAGACACTAACAGTGCTGGATCCACTTCATATATATACACTGCAAGACACAGACAGCACAGGATCTCCCTATATATATATACTGCAAAGCACTGACTGCACTGGATGCACTTCATATATACACTGCAAGACACTGACAGCACTGGATCTCCCTTATATATACACTGCAAGACACTGCACTGGATCCCACTTCATATATACATTGACAGTACTGGATCTCCCCTATATATACACTGCAAGACACTGACTGCACTGGATTCCTTTCACATATACACTGCAAGACAGTGACAGCGCTGGATCTCCCTTATATATACACTGCAAGACACTAACAGCGCTGGATCCACTTCATATATATACTGAAAGACACTGACTGCACTGGATCCCCTTCATATATACACTGCAAGACACTGAGAGT